GAGAGAGAGAGAGAGAGAGAGAGAGAGAGAGAGAGAGAGAGAGAGAGAGAGAGAGAGAGAGAGAGAGAGAGAGAGAGAGAGAGTTGTGTGCCTGTGTGAACGCGCGGAATGCACGTTTAACCCATGTTCGCACGCGGGTTTAAACGCCACATGGCAAATATGGGGAAAAAGCTGAGCCCACGCTAGGGAAGCTACCGGGGGCGTGCAGAGTTAAAAAAAAAAACAAAAAAACTTGTGTGTGTGTTTATTGTCGTATTTGCTATGCACTTTAAAAAAACATGAGTCTGTGTGTGTGTGTGTGTGTGTGTGTGTGTGTGTGTGTGTGTGTGTGTGTGTGTGTGTGTGTTTGTGTGTTTGTGTGTGTGAGTGTGTGTGAGTGTGCGTGAGTGTGTGTGTGTGTGCATGCGTGTGTGTGTGCTTGTGTGCACACACAGCTGTCTGCAACCACTTGCACACACACACACTCTCTCAGGGATATTGCTTACTCTGGCCGATGTGGTGAGTCCCTATCCCTCAGTCAAATGCATCCTGGGGAGATTGTCTGGGCTCAACCTCCTGATGATTACAACAGTCTGGCATAGTCATGCTATTTCTGAGTGTATGGCGAATATAACAAGATGCACACACACACAAACCCACACACACACACACGCACACACACACACACACACACACACGATCTATCAATCGATTTGACTGCATCCGTCAATAAATTGAATCTACCCAATTCAATCTGTCCGATTGATTAATCGATTCAATCAAATAGATTGACTGATTGTGTGTTTGTGTGTGTGTGTGTGTGTGTGTGTGTGTGTGTGTGCGCACACACACACAGACATGCACATAAGCTACGAATTCCCCCCGGAGGCAGCCATGTGGGGCTGTGGCCGGGTCCGCGACCCCACCACTTTGCGGCCATGTGGCCGCCAGTGGGGGGGGAAGGGCAGGGGTTTTGGAGGCTGATCAGGGTTGCGCAACCCCAACCCCACAGGCTGTCGAAAACCCCGTTTTCGACAATTTTGCATCGCCACACAGACTTTCGAAGAATTGCGGTTCAAAAAACTTTCTACAGGTGTCAGAATGGTCCTTTTGACAGCCGCCCTCCAGCAACCGTTTCCTCCCGCCTGCAGCTCAAGGAAATTTGAGTCCACTGCCGGGCTTTCGAAAATTGCGTTCGAATTTGCGTTGGCAGAGACTGCTCCCTGACAGCCGTGGCCTGTTTGTCCATATGTAGTCTACAGTGTCTGTCGAAAACGGCGTCTGCATCTGGTCCGGTTGTGTGGACAAATTCATATGTGTAATAACTCCCGACAGTCCACCGCCTTGGCCACACAGCGGCCACACAGCACCTGTTGAAAGGCGGTGTAGACTTGCCTACTTTCGACAATTTCGCCTCTCGACAGGCTGTGTGGCGATAGGGGGCGAAATTTGTCGAGCGCCGGGCTGTCGAAAAATTACTGACACCTGTCGAAAATTTTGGACATTCGACAGCCTGTGTGGCGAGCCTCTTAGGTTGTGGCACAAACAAGTTTGAAACGGGCAACAAAATCAGACGCGGGAAGCAAAGAACAACAAAAGCATTATGACCCACGCCCGGAGTCTGAAAAGGTTAACAAACTCACGCGCCAAGTTTGAAAAGCCATGTTTACCTATGTAGCCCTTTTCAAACTTCGCACCCGGTTTTGTTGCCGGCACATGTTTTTTTTTGCCCTCTTGAAGCTGAAAGTGTGACACTGCCGCCCGACTTGTTTCTTAAAAGGGTAAGTTTGGTTGTGTGGCTGAAGAGTTGTACTTGACAATGTGTCCTCTTTCACAGCGGCTATACAGTGCATACAATTAAGATGATAACCAATTTCAGGATTTGACCTCATGACTGTCAAATGCTACACATGTGAGCACTCGTGGGACTCGAACTCATGATCTATTTCAGGTGAATTGCAGAAATACCCGTTTGCAAACGTATCGTAGCAACTTTGACCGTCCTCGCAGGTTCGGTGACAAACAAACACAAACACCTTTGCGAGCAGCCCAGCCTCTTTTGAGGTGCATCTACGCAGAAATACCAGTCCGTGAGGTTTCAGTTGCAAATATACTGGCAGGCAGCTGGTTTTGCAACAAAGGAACCATGGGCTTTGGAGCCCTTGCCTCAGGCCAGGCCTACGGGACCTGGGACCCCTGTTACTAGAAAGCATTTACCCATGGGCCTTGGAGCCCTTGCCTCAGGCCAGGCCTACGGGACCTGGGACCCCTGTTACTATATAGCATTTACCCATGGGCCTTGGAGCCCTTGCCTCAGGCCAGGCCTACGGCACGTGGGACCCCTGTTACTACATAACATTTACCCATCCAGTAAATCTGCACAGAGACGTTCAAACAACGGTATTTCTGCAACTTCACCGGTATATTTGCCAGCATACCTGGGCGGAGGGGTGAAGTTGCTACAATACGCTTGCAAACCGGTATTTCTGCAATTTGCCCGTCGGCGGGCCACTTTTTTTTTTTTTTTTTTTTTTTAAAAGGCGATGGCCTTGAGATGTGAGCTTACCGCCCCCAAGAGATTCATTATTAGTAGTTGGTTTTACTCGTCAAGTTCCATCATCTGGATTCAAACACAGGTCTGCATTTCAACAGTTCATGAGTGTACCCCTTGAGTTAGGCTCTTGGGTGGGACACTTTTGTGGACCGTTCGCCCGACGGCCACTTTTGCGGGCGTTATTGAATGGTCTGTCTCCCAGCAGGCAGTCGTGTACATGCGAGCCCGCTGGGATTTGAACTCATGATCCATTTTTAACGGCCACTTTTGCGGGCGTTATTAAATGGGCTGGTTACCAACAGCCACTCGTACTTACCATTTAGGAGTTGAACTCTGGACCGCTATGGAGAGAGCTTTGTTTTTTTTTTTTTGTTTTTTTTTTTTTTTTGAGCTACATGTGTGTACCACTGAGGACTTCAAGCCCGGGCTTTTCAACAGTGTTAGCATTCTGTCTGTACCATTGATGACTCGAATTCACCACGACTTTTCGCACAACAGCTGACAGTTCGTGAGAAAACATTTATGTCAGACCTCGAGAGTCTCCGGATGATGCTCACAACTGCTGAGATAATCTACATCGCTTATAGTTCATCAGAAACAACACCGCTACACGTCCCTGGCAACCGTTTCAAGGCTGAAGTTGGGCGGTTCACAAATTTTCAGATCCAACAGCTGTGTTTACTGTACTGCATCCCTCCGGAATACCGCTGTGAGACGAGCAAACATAAAACAATTGAAACTCCAAGAAGAACATAGACATAGCTACGGTCCTCCCCCGAATACAACGTACGATCATTATGGCTGAATTTCGGGCATCTTTCAGCCTAAATTCAGCTAGCATGACCGTACGTTGTGATCAGGGGGAAGACTGTAGAACGAATGGGAAAAGTGCAGGAACAGACACGGAGTGCCGAGGAGGACGAGCGAACGCCCGAGATATGGAGAAAAGAGAGACCAAGCGAGTGAGGAAGCTGAAAAAGTGGCACATCGAGAAAAATACTGTGTGTGTGTGTGTGTG